TTCCGTTGAAAAACGTACGATCGTACAATGCAATGGAATGGAATTCGTTAACGCATGGCAGACTTTGCTTTGGCAAGGCTTCCGATCGTTTCGATGTTAGTAATCATAGCGCATATTGAAAGCAGCGTATTGTAGTCTTCTTGAGGCATTGAAGCCACAGTTTCGAGGTAACCGTGAACAATCGCACTTGTATGTCTTCACACGCATGTTGACTTTGTTAGCGAAGTCACATTTATCTCAAGTCTTCACCTGATTCCAAGGGATGCTAGGGCTGTGGTGGGAGGACTCGCCACAGTGAAGGATTCTGTCTTCTGACACCCCACGATGGTGCATCTGCAACGCGGTTTTAAGCACGAAACGGGAAGTAAAAGCTTGCGTGCAATTCCTTCTGTGGACGCAAGATCTATACGAGCCACAACGGGGCATGACAGATTGAGGCACCCAGCCACGGTCTTGCTCAGGGTGAGACAGCAAAAAAAAAAAAAAAAAAGCAAAAAGGCAAAAAGTCAGCAACAGACAGATGGAAGTTAAAAACGGTCTGCTTCCTTGTGGCTGGCTATCCTCGCTGTGGCATTTCACCGGTTGCTGGGTGTGTTTGACTTATTGTGGCATGTCTCACAGCCAGTGACAGCAAGTCCGAGATCCTAGACCCTGTGGCTCCGAACACCACAGACCAGACGTGGTGGCGAACCGCAGACAAGCCGTGGTGGCGAACACCGCAGTTTCGTGAAAACAGACCATGATCAACTAATGTTGCCATAGTGAGTCAGACAACAATGTGGCAGACGACCCACAAAACAAGCAACATTAAGCAAGCAGCTCAAGAGTATTCCCATCGTTTAGTGGAACACAGGGAGTGCCTGGAGGTACGTGTCGGACTGCTGAATGAAGGAAGCATTGCTGATTCTATTTTCGCCAAATTCCACCGGACTCAAGGCATTGCGGACCACGGTCTTCACAAAAACAGAAGAATACAAATTCCAGAGCTCCGGCTGGAGATCCTCGGTGTCTAGGTCTGAAAGCAACACGAACTTGTAGTTGGTGAGTGATTCAAGGAAATGCACTCTGTAGGCGCCTGTGCTGAAGGATCTCAAGAGATTTGGAGTATCCTGGGTGGCCAATTTGGAAGATAGGTTTTTCAACGAATGGATCAATCCAAATAGAAGTTTGGCTGTGTCTGAGTTATTGTTCTTGTTGACCGATCCTAGGTTGGACGAACCTGAGGATGGTGGAAGCTGGGCCGACGACGTGCTGGACGTGTTTTGAGCCGCATGGGAGTACTCACGTGAGTATATACAGCTGCAGTGTCTGTCGAAGATGTAGAAAGCGTAGATGGTCATTGGAGTTGGAGGAGAATATGGAGGAGATCAAGAGGTGTTGTTTGGTGTGCAGGTGGGAGGTCTTGGCACGTGGTGCGTCACGTGATATCCACAAAACACCCTCCTCAACCGTTCCAGCACTATTTGCAACAACGTTCTTTTCTTAGAAGCACGTTAAGGTCACGCTGGGGGCCACCAGGCTACGGGAAAGCCTCCATGGCTGTGACGGAAGCAAAAAGACCCGTGCACCAGCGAGGCGATGGGATCTGGACCCTAGGCACGGGAGCTTAGCGAAAACAGGCATTTTCCCGAGTCCAGAACGGAAGCTCCGGCATTGACGAAGGGGTGTAGATGTATTGCTTGAGGCGGAGGGGAAAGTCCGGGGACCCTCGAGAAAAGCTCCCTGGCTGCGAAAAACGGTCTCGGGTGGGTGGATCAGTGGACAGTGAAAAATGGAAAATGAACATGAAAAATAAAAAATTGAAGATTCTACAAATTGTTAGAAACTGAAATAAACCGCTGTGGGACCACTTTGAAACCAAAATACGAGAGCCAAAGCTTATTTGGCGGTGCCTGGACGGACCTTCGGCTCGGTGAGCAAATAGATGCTAAACATAGAAGGAAGGAAGCGAGCAAATAGGGCTATTTGCTCCGCCAAGGCGTATGACCTGGCGAGGCGTTCGGGGATCTCAAGCCAATGCAGAAAAAAAGCAGAAAGCAGAAAGCAGAAAAAAGAGGTGGCAGCAGAAAAGGTAAAATGAGTCTTGGAAGTCTGGCCAGCCAGTACCAGAACACAAGGAACCCTCAGGGATAAATGTAAATCGGTAGTGTAAATCGGCAGTTTATCGGCAGTCGGCAACATGAATCGGCAACATCAACCGATTGTGTTCACCGGTAAAGTGGCAGAATGTGGAATAAACTTGCTTATAGGGGCATGTCGTGGACCAAAGTCAGCAGATTTTCCATTTGCAGCCAGGGTCCCAACATCGCATGGACTAGCATTTTGGGCAGCAGCAGGGTACAGAAGGTGGGAGATTGGGGATTAGACTTTTGGTCAATTTTGGGGGTTAGACGAATTTTGGATTTTGCATTTTGGTGGATTTGGTGGTTTTTGTGATTTCTGGATTTTGGTGAGTTTTGGTGATTTGCCCTTTTGGCACTGTCTCCCCAGGCTTTGTTCCTGAGTATGGCTGAGACCGACACGGAGACTGAGTCGTTCTGGATGCTCTGCGACCGGATCGGTGCGAGCTTTGCACCCAGTGACACATCCTAGTGCATCCAGTGAATAATGACTTTCATGGGTTATGGATTTAGAATTTAATAGATCTGACGAAGTTTCATTCATCTTTCTTCATTTTCTTCTTCTTCGGTTCTTTTTCTTTGGGGGTGCCCGCCACATTCCAGGTGTGTTTGGGTTCTGTTCGCTTGGGGTGTCCTGTGGTGCATTGTGGCATGTGGAAGCGCAAAGCGTGGTGACAGTGAGTCAAGTGAGGCCGAAGCGGCCTGTGCGCTCGTTTGCAGCCATGACTCACTGGACGAGGGTCCACCAAAAACACAAAACAAAACATAATTTCAGTAAAATAATTACACCATCATCTTATTCGGGGGCACTTTCGGCGGAAAGCTTTTTTTTCGAGAAAATTCGGCCAACATACGCCCAGATCCGCCACCCCCGTAGCACCGTTCTTATGGTGGTTACGCATCCACTGACAGCATTGTCCGATGTCCGAACCACGTGCCGGCTCGTCACCACGACTTGGACCCGCTAACAATTTGCTACAATCCATAAAACATTATTTTGACGGTGGCCTGGACCGCCACGGAAAAACGCTAGCCTCGGCTGTGGTGGTGGCAGGGTTAACTGTGGACTGTGGGTGCGGCGTCTCAGTGTGGTTGCTTGAACTTGCTCATTGTTGCGTAACAGCACCTCGCGGACATATAAAGGCTGAGACCCCGGATCATTTCTCAGCCAGAAATTTTCACCCTTCTGAGAAGCCCCATACCTGGATTCTTTACAGCCCGAGGCGGTGACATACGAATTACTACAATTTCTTTTGAGAGACGGTATTGGCATTGATCCAGTTACCAGCTACTACAATCAGATACTACAACTGACTACGACTACCAGCTACAACCACTAGCAGTCGACAGACCCTGAGTCATACTTCAATAGCTCCTTTCAGAACTACAGTTTTACCGTTCCGAGCAAATTCCCCGTCGGAGTCTCGAGAACCATAACCACAATATCAGAGACAACACATCACAACACAATGTACAGCGTCGACCAGCCAAGAGACTTTGTCGACTACACAGACCTCGATATCGAGTCGGAGTGGAACCCACAGTACCAGGACTCGCCTGTCCTCGAGGCCAACGAGCCCGACTGGATCGACGAGACCCCAGGCACCCCTTCAGAGGGCCTCATGTACGAATGTGCTTTTTGCCTCCATGCCCATCTGCCCCTGCTGCCATGCAACGGACTGAACTACACGTTCCAGCTTCCCCAGCTGGCGCTGCACGCCTACGGCTTTGAAACGCCCAGGCTGGAGCCCGTGGAACGCAGCAATGGCATCATCCAGCTGAACTACAGAAAGTGGTTGGTGTCGGTGACACCCCGTTGAGCTGGCTTGATGGGTTTTTTTATAGAGTGCGTTGCACAGGTTTGGAGAAGGTTAGGATTAGGTTTAGGATAAATGGATAATACGAAGAGACATATTGTAGAGTGTGATATAGTGATACAGATTTGAATGGATAATACGAAGAGACACTGAAGAGTGTGATACAATAATAGACAGAAATTTGGAGAATCTGAGATGCTGTGTAGATGAAGAAATGAAGGATCTGAGATGCTGTGGCTAGTTCGGAAGTGGTCCGATGAGCATGTGGAGCCACAGTGTGGATTTTTCAGATTCGTGGGAAAACGTGCTTCGGAGATGCGATGAGGAGGCAAAGGCGGTTTCTTTTTTTATTTAGATGCTTTTAGAGAAAGTAGTTCAAAATTCCAGTAACGTTTTTGTAGGGAAAATGGGTATTTGTGTGTAGCCACAGCTGGTATACTCTCTGTGGCTTCTGCTTTACAATGGAGGTGGATCTCGCTCACAAAAAGGGATACGAAAAGGGAAATATGATTATAGATCGATACTTCGGTGCGTTCAGCTGATCAATTTTGGTAGAAGCGTGTAGACTTACGAGTGGTCACTGGGTTGGTCGTTTTGGGCATTTTGGCTGTTCGATTAAATACCAACTTGTAAGCTCACTTTGTTTATCTAGAACTGGACTTGTTTTTATGAAGATTTTAATAGACTGCAATTTGACTCATTTTGAGGACTCCAGTGGCATTTGAAATACCGTATAAACGGGACCCTCAAACATCACCACATTAACAACGTCAACGAAGCTATATAGTAGCATCTTCTAAACGATACATTTCTTTTCTTCATCGCTTGTAGTGTTTATTTGGCTGTGAACTGAGTATAGTGATTCAGGGTTGGGCTTCAGTTATTATATCCATATCAACATGCTCCATACCATCAACATTTAAATTCATTGAAGCCCCGCTTAATCAAATGACTACGGTATAAATTAAAAGGGCCACTACAGCAAATAAGTAGCGCCCGGCACTCTACATCCTCCTCTGCTTTATGTGTATTCGTTATTTTGGCTGGTGAACGTGAAACGTATCTACTTCTTCTCCAAGTCAATGAACTTGCCGCCGTTGGCGAATCTAGGGTGACGAGGGTCGTTGATGAACTCGTCAGTGTCTTGCATGGCGCCGGCAGCCTTCCAGATCAATCCGTAGGTGATAGCAGCTGTTTGTTAGTATGGGTTGGGGATAGGGAATTGGTCAGGGGCATTGGTGCTTGATTGAGGTAACATATTGTGGGAATTGGGATTATGGATATGATAGTTTGAACAACGTGTTGAATGATCTTTGGGACTTATTGTGGTTTGGATTCATGGAACGGAATGGGAGACTCGGAACGTCGGAAACAAACGAATTCTTCTCTAAAACTAATAATTCAACAAACAGAGGTCAAAACGTCTCTTCATCCACGTCTCTTCAGCCAATTCAGGGGCATTGGCAAACTTCACAAGGATAGGTGTTCGACAGACCGTGGACACGGATCTCAGCAACTCAATCAGCATTTCAAACCTTCACTGACACTCTCTTTGGGAACATACCTCCGGTGGCAAAAGGCCAGTAGTACTTCAAAACAGGAGTGTTGAATCTTGGGAGCATGGTGGATAGATGGTGGTAATGTTGAAAGTTGGTTCGAAAAACCGCTCTTTGGTGCGCACTGGTGCTGGCCAATGAGACGGCTGCTCTGCAGAAAAGGCACACCGACCTGGGCACCACCTAGGCCGGGAGGGAGAAGGGGGGCATTTGGGAGGCGAAAACGGGGGGATATAAATTTTTGATTTTTTGCAAAGGTGGGAATCGCGTTGAATTTATAGTTTTTTCAAAGGGGGCGGGGAATTGGCGGTGCTTGTTGGGAACCACCTCCGCGGTGTTTTGCAGCCATTACTATGGGAGAGTGTGAACCAGCAAAGTGACATTCGAATTGATTTAAAATGTAAAATTTTGATCTTTTTGAAATATAGGGAATTGTTTGAACCGATGTGATCTTCATATATCGAGAGCTTCATTCAATGGTCAACCACTAACTACATAGCAGAAATGTCACTAACCAACCACAGCTGTCTATACTCTTCACTTCCTATACCAATTCCCAATTACACCTACCTTTCTTTGAGGTATCTCTTTGACTACCCCGCCTTCGCCTTCTCGCCCTGATGATCTCTACGGTGATATCATTGGCGCCTGAATGGAACCAACACGGCAACGTCGACTTCACCGGATCCTCCACGCGTATGACTTCTCTTTCAAACCTCTCATTGCACTGTTTTTCCCACTGTCTCGTTGTTTCTGGGTTTCTGTCGCTTCTGGATATTATAGCGTACTGAGCACCAGCATCGAAGAAACCTGCCAAGGTATCAAGCAAGATGCCCAATACGCTGGGGTCGTAGACGATATCAGCCCCTAGAACAACATCAACTTTTTCGTCTAGCTGCGTTTCGCCCCAGAGGTACTGAACACACTCGATATCGTGAGATTCCACACCGTTGAGCTCCACAGTAAGAGGAAGCTTCTCGACAACCCCAGCGTCTCCATCGGTTATGATGATTTTCCTAGGGTTATGCTGAGACCATTTTTTAGCCAAAGCAGCTGAAACAAGGCCCGTGCCAGCGCCCAATTCGAGAATCGTGGAATCTTCGAAAGCACCCTCAAATCGAGACTCCGTATTGAGAAGAAGCGCTAGTAGAAGAGCTGCATTCCATGTTCGAGCTCCCGTAGTCCCCTGGCCTGAAATAACACGAGGTGTTTCTTGAATTGAAACCCAAGTGGAGTCGTCAATTGGGTACTGTAGTAGGTCTGGGGTAGTTGGGGTAAGTGGTTTAGCAGAAAGAAGCGAGCAAAGAAGCTCGTACGGGTCAGTTTCCAGGGTGTTTTTGGTGGGTGATGAAGTGGTTGAGGCGGTTTGCTTTAAGTCAGTTTTTGTCAGATCATCGTTATCTTCTTCTAGAATGGTAGTACCGTCCTTCTCGTCACTATCCCTATTTCCGATAGTCAATCCGCCAAGTTCAGACACAGTTTCCTCAACAGTATCATCCTTCTCTTTGGATCCCTCCTCCTGGCTTTCATCAACCTCCTCCTCTGGATTCGCTTCAAGCCAGTCAACGTACTCTCCAAGGAAGGTTCTGGCGTAGTACGGGTTGGTTTTGGCGATTTCCTCAAGAACGGCCACGACTTCGCCCGAAGATGCCGATTTTAGAAGCTCCAGCTCGGCGAAAACCTCCTTGATTAGCGCCCGCAGCCGCAATGCTGCTAGAAGCGAAGGCATCGTTTGAAATGTGGAGTTGCGATGAGCGCGAAGCTCACGATGAGGTCCAGATGGGTGCAAAATGTGGGTCAGTGGGGGAAAAATGGACAGAGGTTTTAGGTGGTGGTGATGAATTTGGGCATTTCGTGTGGTTTATAGTGATTTTTCTTTGGTGGCTGTACAGGTGGTTCGGAAGTCGATGGGGTGTATCTATAGACCAGTAGTCTAAGTTAAGGAGTGAGAGTGGCTATATATGGGCCTTACCCTCTTTTAGTATCATACATTTTCTTTACAATCGGCATGTTTATCATTTTTCGACTGTTCATGAGCTTTTTTCTTTTATAATCGACTGCTCTCTTTGCAGATCATAAGAAGACTGCTTTTGAGGTGTTATGCTGAAGAGGGTAATTATGCTGAAGGAAGTAATTGAATCAAGACTATGTCAACCTAATGGGATCTCTCGACAAGCATTTTCGAAAGGCCAAGATCAGTGTTTTTTGTGTTATCGAATAAGTTGCTTTATATGAATATCACTGTCCTTACACTGTTTCTCCAATACCTGATGCATATAGCAGCTCTTCTTTATTTCCCTTCAATCGAAAAAGAACATTCCATTTCAGAGGAATACTTCCCAGAGGCCAATTGATTGTTATTCAATTCCAATAATGAAATGTCCTGGCGTCAATCAAGAATGATGATTTGCTCTTGTAGAAATCAAAAGCATAACCATCATTCACATTGCGCCATCGCCCCAACCCCAGGCTCCATCCAAATATACAAAACAGCCGATTTCCCACCCTTTTAATACCTAAACAACATTCAAGAGCTTTCAAGAATCCCATCATTGACTCGTTTCACTCCTCGTCCTCTTCCTTGGCAACTTGGCTGCAAATCACCTACAACTACACCCATCCGTTCTTTTTTTTGTTTTATTTTTTTTTTAATGCTAGCTATGCATGGGCGGTGCCCGAGGTTCGTGGCTCTAGGGCTGGCTGCGCTAGAGCAGACGCCAGGTCCACCTAGGTCCCCAGGACCTAGGCTACGGTGCCGAAAATCCTCAATCTCTTGACTCCGCCGTCGGGGATCATGGTCAACATGACATGCGAGTATGGCCCAGCAGCCTCGGCCTTGAACTTGAACTCCTCGTGTGGACCGGTCTTGCTGTCGCTGACAATGGTCTCCCACTTCTTCAGGTCAAACGCTGGCAAGCTGTCTGGCGAAGCAGCAGTGCCCTCAGGAGCCTTGTAGCCCTTGACGTTGATCTTCTGAGGGAAGTTTCCTCTGAAGTGGGCGGTGTCCACGAGAACCTCCTGGACCGTAGTCACAGCACCCAACTTGATCATGGCCCAGTCCACATGGCCAGCGCCACGAGAACGCTTGGTTTCCCAGCCATCTCCCATGTGCTCGCCTCTGCCAGGCAAAAGAAGGTTGTCAGCGGAAGAAAAGCACTCGTCCGAAACCTTAACAGCCACACCACCGTTACGAACCAGCGCCAGGTCGATCACAGCCTTAGGGTCCTTGGGCAAGATGGGGATCACCGTGCCGTACAAGCGGAAACGGGCAATTCCACCGTCAGGGTACATTCTCAATCTGAAGTGGGTGTAGTTCTCCTTGGTGGGACCGCATGGACGAACAAAGAAGTGTTTCGAACAAGGCTGGCACTCCACCTTGGAGATGATGTCCTCCCACTTGGAGTCGGGGCCGACATTGTCGGTTTCGGAACGGATACCTTCCACAGAGATGAAAGGAGCAGCGTTACCGGTGAAATTGGCGGTGTCCACCTCACAACCAACAATGGTAGCAGAACTGACACCTCCCTTGAAGATGACCCAGTCCGCCTCCTCGGTGTTGTGTCTTCTGGTCTCCCAGCCGTCGAACCACTTACCGGTGTGGACGAACTTGGTGGGGTCAAAAACCACCGGGGTGGATTTGATCATGTTGGCAGCAGCAGCAAAGAACTCATCGGAAAAGCTCAACACTTTCCCGCCAAGCTGGTCGCCAATGACATTGACGTAGTTGGAGACAATCTCTTTCTTGAATTTTTCCTCGCTGTAGACCTCAGGCATTTTTGTTGGTGTGCAAAGCTGCTGGACCTGGCCTTCTTATATGTGGATGGGTGAATTCCGTGGCGGCATCTGCCGACACCGCGGAAAGAGTAGTTGATAAAGGGAGTCAGAACGGGGAGGAGTCAGACCGGGGAGGGAAATTTAGGAAGCCATACAATTGGCTCGGGAAGTGTTGACTCTGGTTTGACTTCGTTTTTTTTTTTGAAAAAGTCCGTTTTTTCGCCAGAACTCTGTGTGTTCTTCCACACTCTGGGTGCTAATTCCGCGGCAGCCTTCCGCATTGGGCGTGTTTCCCGAAACGCCGTCTGGCCAAGGTTGCACTATTTGAAACGGGCGAAGGAGAGTTAGATTTGGGGTGATCTGATTGGAGGAGAGTCGTTCTTTTTTGTGTTTGAAGTTGGAAGATTGTGGAGGGGTAGGTCTGAGGTGGTGGACTCAATGGCTGCGAAATCTGTGGAAGAGGGGGGGCCAAGTCGATGAACCCTTCGTTCGATAAGAAATTTGAATTGATGTTTTTATTCTTTGTGTGATAAAGTATTGAATTCCATTCCTTCAGTTATTGCTTTATGTCGGTTTGTTACTTTGGCCGGTTGTGCCACCTTAGTCTGGTCTGATGCACCAGGCTGTCACTGCAGCAGTGGCTGCGAAAAGACCATATCGATTTCCGCTATTCCGCTCGAAAGATTCTCGCATGGTTCTAGAAATTCGGAATGTCATGGTCAAGGTATGCTCCGGGGTGGGCCAATGTTGGAGGGGTATTACTATTTGCCAGGTGCCAGGTGTTCAGGGTAGTAAGTATGGAGCAGAGCGGCTGAAGGTGGTTAGATGCTCGCCTGGAAAACAGCGTTGCACCGTTGCTAGTGGTTCCTTTATTGATGTCTGATAAGCTTTTACAACAAAAATAATATCAGAGATATTTTACGAGAAATGTGGATTCGAGTCGATTGGCTGTTGAGAAGTAATGAATAACAATGATTGGGGCATGGTTGAGTAGTAAATGGGTTGATCGTGTTGGGATAGCTCCTCATGGTGCTATATCAAATTAAACGTGCTTCCCTTATTGATCTCTGGTATGCTTCTCGCAACAATTTTAAATTTGAGTAGCTTGGACATTTTGAAGAATTAATGAGATGCAGTAGTCGGGGTAAACAGAAGTAGTCAATGTGGTTATAGTATTGGAAATAACTCCTCATGGTGTTATATCAAATCTGATGTGTTCCCTTGTTGATCTCTAATATGCTTTTCACAACAAATGTAGATTTGTGTCGATTGAACATTTGAAGAGTTGATGAGAAAAAATGTCAAAGATTTCCCAAGAAACAAGTGGATTGATCGTAAAAATACCCCCTCTACTGCTACTACCTGGTGCTCTTCAGTGCGCATGTATCAACCCCATGTCTCAGAAGGTGATACACAGCGGCATCAACAAACGATTTAGATACATGAAGGGATTGGATTTCCTCAATTTGCTTATGCATGATGAAAAGAATCAAAAATCACAGTGTAAACAGAATTGGCGATATCAATGGGCAGCATCAAGTGGTAACATTGAGACATGCTACAGAGGATGTACACCGAGGTATGAGTTACTCTTCTCAACAGCTTTCCAAAGAAAAAAACGGAAAAAGGTACGCCCCAAAAAGTTCCCCATCCCATACTACTAAAACTCTTCAACTTCAAAATGTCAATTGACTTGGTGGAGCCTACTGTTCATCTGAATACCTGCACCATCAACCACTCCCAACTGCCCCCAATTGCCCTCTCCATTCTTCACCAAATTTCAAATAATCTCCAAATCCACCCCCTTCCACCGCTCCGAGCTCGGATCATGGCTGTGTGCCCAATGGCTCACCACGGCTTTTCGTCACCTCCACCAATCAAAGCCGCTACTCAACAATCCACCATCGTCAACGCGGCCAGATCTGCAGACCGACCATCCAATTGAGGATTAATTCAAGGCGATTTCGTTATTTTATTTCCTGCTCAATTGATGAAGGTTGATCCTCTTTTCATCTCACTACTTTCACACTTTATCTGAACATCTCTCCTTGAGATGTCTCAAACACCGACCGTTGACTACTCCCAGAATGGCTGCGAAACGCACTGAATCAGGCCACACAGACCGTAAATCAAAACGCGGTGGTTCCATCTACCATAAAAAAAACTCCAACTTTTCGAAAAACAAGGCAATTGAATATCCAAAAAATCCCAAAACCCACCCTAATTCCCCTGGGTTGCCCCTCCTTACCGTCGCTTCCGAAGCGAGAGTCTGTGCGATTAGGCAGCCTACAGTAGACGCAGTCTGGCTCCATGAGCCCACATTCCGTAACAACAACAGAAAGCAGATTTAAATAAAAGTAAACAAATTTCAATTCTTCAATTTCTTCATTTTCTTCATTTCATCAATTTCATCAATTCCTTCAAATTCATAAATTCATTTATATTATATTCTCCAGGCCCACCCTCGGACCCATCTCTGCGCCTTCCTGTTTGGACAAAAACAATAACACACAACAACTAAAGCTCACCACTGACATATTTTTCCCACACACAACGGTGCTTCTTTGGATCGTCGTCTATCTTTAACCTCCAACTATCCAAAACATCCCCAATTTACTCCCCAGATCCTCCCCATTGACCTGTTGATTCTGTCCCTTACTGTCCAGGCAATTCCCCAAACAAACACATCCTTCAAATCCTCCCATCGGCTCCTCCAAAAAGGCCATGGATACGCTAGGGTCCCCTAGAGCCCGGTCCCCGCTCAGACTGATGAACACGCCGACCACCACATTGTCCAAATCGCCCTCGGGAAAGACCCTGTTGAAATCGCCTTCCAGGTCTCCCTTGAGGGAAGAATCGCCCCTACAACGACACCACGAGATGGTTGCTCGCAACAACACGCTAGCGAAGGAATACGGCCAGCTTGAAGAGGAGCTCGGCAAGAAAATCGCCCTT